GAATGCAGCATGTGAATGGCACTGGCGGCGTTTAGGGGGCGAGCAAGGTAATAGTACAGCTGGCAACCGCCGGGGAAAGATGGAGAGCACATGTGTACCTGTCTCCGAGCAAATGGCAGTTCTGCGCATTAACACTAATTCCAACTTACCGCATCCCAAAGCATGAGGGTCCCAAGCTCAAGCTCTTCGAGCGCCTGCGGCTCGCCGCCATCATGACAGGGGTATAGTGCCAACGCCCCAGGGATGTACTTCTTCGTCAGCCGCACCACCATGCGTGTTGTCCCTCCCTCCCTGCGCCCAATCGCCAACCCCGTGTTCCCCCAAGTTTGCTCCCCATAGCCCGCGAGTGTCCCCTCCCCTACGCAACGAGTGTTGGTCACCGTGTACAGGCGGAGGGTGGTATCGGCAGGAAGCGACAGCACATCCGGCCGAGGCTCCGTGTAGACGGGATCCATTCGGCTGTACACGTGGTAGTACAGAAGAACTCCCGCGTAGGAATCAAGCCCCGCGTAAGTGATCTGCGTCAGCAGAGAATGTATTTTACAGGTGTGAGTAAGTAGCGCGACACCAGAACTACAGAAGTGAACAAGAGGTTCAGAGATATTGGAAATAGCCAACAACAATAGCACGCTATCGAACCTTGGAGGACCTCACTCAATACTACAGCTGGGAGGGATGCGGAGCCGCCATCAGCTCACCTGCTCCTTGGTGAGGGAGGTCTCCCAGTTGCTCGTACGAACTTGGCCCTTCGGTAGTCGGCGTCGAAGCAACCCCGCCGTCAAAGCCTGGAGCGACCGCGCCCCAACCATGACATCAAGGTGCTTCCTCACTGGCTAGACATCAATAACCATCCCCGATCATACCAACCAGTTATACTTCTTCAAACTTCAGTGAATGAACTAGTTGCCCCCCAGCCTAGAACATCATCCGTTGAGAAAAACCATAGGCAAAAATGTAAAATGTCGCCACCCCAGTTGTTGTTTGATCACACACAAAATAAATCCAAACACCAATATATTTATCCATACTCATCACGTAGTTACGATGAAACTCAAAATCTCCCGCGTGAAGTGCTTTCGTGAGAAAGTCAGCATGTTGATACGCCGATTCCACGTGAAAAATCGATATCTCTTTCCTGCCTACCAGTTCCCTGATAAAGTGGTGCCTTACGTCGATGTGCTTCGAGTTACTGTTTGTTACTTATCGAGTTTTGCGCCAACTGAATAGCCCCCTGGTTATCCTCGAACACCGGAATACACGGCATGCCTGCTTCTGGTAACATGAAACGCCACACCTGCCTCAGAAACAACACTTCCTTCATCACATCCGCAAAAGAGACATACTCCGCCTCTCTCGTGCTCAACGTGACGCACTTACTTCTGGGTCCTTGAAAACCAAGAAATACGTCCGTCCCCCCCCACACATCACCAAACCCCCTGACACAGACCTCCTATCGGCAGCCTTACTTGCTGCATAGTCTGCGTCTGCAAACACCTCCATGCTCAACCCTGCTACACTACCTCTCCTGAATGTAATACCCAAGTCACTAGTCTAGTCCGTACAACGTAGTACCCTAAAATACCAAGCCCTGCTCTCCAATGAGTTTCTTTGGGAGAGGCACAGTACCGTGCTACCGCTCTTACTGCATTCGCGATATCTGGCCTCGTTTGCGTTGCCAGCCACATCAATGATCCTATCAGCTCACGAAAAGGCCATGATACCACTTCCTCATCCTGGTCAAACTCTGAAAGCTTCAACCCTACAGGAAGAGGAATTTCCTTCCCGTACTCTACCCCAAACTCCATCCCCAACTCTTCAGCGTACGTCTGCTGCGAGATCTTCAAAGTTCCTGCATCCCAATCTCTCTCATAAAAACATCCAGAGTACCATCTCAAATCCCCAAGATTCTTCACAGGTACCATGGTGTTGAGGTCCCTGCCAAACTGGTTACACCTCTCCTCCTCTCCTATCGAAAACATATCATCTACGACAACATATTCGCCTGATTGAGAGCGAAGTATCTGATTGAGAGCGAGAGCCAAAAAAATTGAAATTTCGGGTCCAGACGCCTCTTGCCATTTCTTGGCAAGTAGGGGACGGGCTATTCCAAGAAGCGGTGCAAATTGAAGGTCTCATCAGCAGCTTCGCGAGCATATGCGTGTCATCGTCATCGGATGCTGCAGCGAGGAGCTAGACAAGTTGCTAGATTTGCCCAGATTGGCTATTTCTGCTCAAACTGTTTCAGGGCGGTATCGCNTGTATGTACCACCAGAGTCACTACCACTCTTCCCTCGTCAATCAACCGAAACACACACGTATCCGCCATGCACTGAATAAAACCCAAACAAATCAAACACCTCGCCAAGTGTGAATGCCACTGCCTTGATGCCTGCTTAAGGCCATACAGACTCTTGTTCAACTTCACGATCATACCTGACAATCTACCACACCCCTCTGGCAGACGCATGAATACATCCTCATCCAAATCCGACTGGACAAATGCTTGCTTGATGTCAAAATGACGGAGAGAAAGATTTTGCTCACACGCCATCGCTGCCAACAAGCGAACGCTAGAAACCGCTACAGTCGGTGCATACGTCTCTCCACAATCTACATGTACTCGCTGCATATCTCCTCTCGCTACGAGCCGTGATTTCACATTGGTTGGCCATCCATACTCGTCAGACTTCCAATCAAACACCCACTTCGCCTTGATGACACTTTATGGTTGCTACATTACTTACTCAAAGGTACCAGCCTCCATAAGACCTCTGAACTCCTTCTCTACACAGTGTATCCACAAGTCAGCATGTTGAGAGGACACAGCCTCCCTATACGTTTTGGGCACACGCAAGTCGCTCGCGTAGCACTGTGGCAAGTCCGGTGCCACTTCCGGGGGATCTAAATCCATCATCGCGCGATCAATGTCCTCGCGGGAGGCAAGCAAGGTGGCGCACGCAAATGGGACTTCTTCACGCAGTCCTTCTTTTTTCGTGCCCTCCCGCTCTCGCCCCCCCGGCTCCGCTCCATCACGTCCTCCGGCTGAACTCGGGATCTCCTTCCTCCCCCCATCGACGATGCTGCGAGTGGTTAGAGTCGACAGGAGCGTTGCCTTGTCCTGCAGGGAAACAAGACCGAAGCGGTGGGCGAGAGCGTCGCCGCTCCCGCCAGGTGACGTCGACCGCTCGGCCCCCCCATCCTGGAAACGCACCCGCCGACCCCTCAACCTCCCTGGCACCCGCGTCTCTCGTCCCAAGTCCAGCTCTCGATTGGCCCTGGCAGAGAGGGGCGGCATTGACTACGCCCCCCCCTCCCCCTGGTCCTTAGCGGCTGCCCTCGTGCGCCCAGAAACCCTCATGTCGCCGCGCCCCACGTCCAGTTCACGGATGGCACGTGTGGTGAGCGGCGGCATGTTGGTGGAAGGCGCGGCACCGGGCGGCACGGTGGCGGGAGACGGTGTTACTGACGGTGCAGCGGCGGTGGTGAACGGTGCGGCCGGCGGCGAGGCGGC